CCCCAAAACCCCAAAACCCCAAAACCCCAAAACCCCAATAAGCTCAGGGAGTATTGAAAATTATAATAAACTATGCTTCTTTGGTATTTAAATTTGACCCATAGGTGCTAAGGCTCAATGCATTATTTCGATTCTTTTTCCTTTTTCTAGCTGGAATTTCGGACCTAATAATGCTGACAGCACTTGAGTACTCGCTCAGTCGAGTGTAGTAATAGCCCTCGAACAAAGCTTGGATGTGAGCCTGTTTCACTAGCTCGTTCTGCTTCTTCATCAAGTCTGAATCCTCGTCCTTCCAAGGCTCGTTAGCGTACTTGGTGTCGAAATTATCTTTGTTTTGGGGTGGCACAAAAGGAGAAATTGCCCTATTTACTTTTGACAGCTTCCCAGTCAAAGTCTGCAAACCATGGGTGTGAAATGAGTTCTTTGGGACCGCTCAGACCTAGCCGGTTTACAGGCTTTCTTTGAATCAACTTGTTGATAAAATCTGCAGCCTCAATTGACCAGCCCTTAGGAATATCTTGTCTATTTTATTTTAACTTGTTTTGAAAGAATATGGTCTCTGATTGCTTTTCGGTTTTTACCGTAATAAGGCCTTTTGCCAAACATTCATTCAAAAGCAATGACTCCAAGTGCAAAATAGTCGACTGAAATTCCATGATTCTGTCTTCACATCACTTCAGGAGCCATATAACCTGGAGTCCCGCTGGTGTCTTTGTGATTTTCTTGGGTCAGAACCCTAGCGATTCCGAAATCGATTATTCTCATATATCCGTTCGAGTCAAAGACTAAGTTCTCAGGCTTAATGTCCCTGTGGACAACTCCAAGATTGTGGATGTACTCCAGAGCAATGATTATATTGGACATGAAGAATTTGGTCTGCTCTTCAGTAAATTTCTTTTTCCAACTAATGTGGTACCTCATGTCACCTCCGTCAAGATGATCCAGTATAACAAACAAGTTTTCTCTATCTTGGAATGCAAAATGCATGTTAACTAGGAAGCTATGCTTGAGTTTGGCAAGCAAATTTCGCTCATTCATCACCGAAGAGACGGAGCGCTTAGCTAAAATCCGAGACTTGAGCATGACTTTCATTGCGAAGTACCCATCAGTCTTTTTCTGTTGGACTTTCCAGACTTTTCCAAAGCCTCCTTTTCCAATAACATATTTAAATTTAAAGTGTGTCTTTGTAATTACACTCACATCATCCTTATCTGAGTGTTGCTCTGTAACTCAGTTTCCCATCTTAATATATTTTATTATATTAGTCTCTATTTCCTATTTTGACTGGGGTTTTGGGGTTTTGGGGTTTTGGGGTTTTGGGG